TTATGCACCCTGTTAGAGAACCAAAAAGTTTAAGTCGATAGGTAGAGGAGATCACATGAATATATATGGCATTTATGACTCGTTGTCGAGCGATGTGAAACTATATTTCAACACACCCTATGATAAATTGCTCTAACTTTGCCACTAGGATTTCACACAAAATTTTCTGTATAATCGATCTATATTGACATTCTGTACTTTTTATTAACATCACTGTTCACGATTTTTTCTTCCTTTTTTCGACTTATAATTTCAAATTACAAATTTAAAATCGAAGTCGGATTATATCAACGTATTACGTCTTGACATACTCTCGTTAGGTAGGACAATGATAATAGGACGTATGCCATCCTTGCTTGTGAAAACAAGTTATCCTTTTAAAGGATATCGGATAAAGGAATGATTTTGAATCCTGTCTATAAACATTATGGCAAGTCAATCTGATCTCACCTACCAAATGACTATCAAAGTCTTTACCAATTTTCATTTATCTCATTCATTTGCGTAAGCATCTAGAAGATAAATGTATGCCTATTTCTAGATAAAGTGTTGTGCTTATCGTGTACGACTCGTTTGATGGGATTCTTCTACTCGTTGATCCATTGAAGCTATGATTGAAGGAGAATATGCAGGCTCTTGTGTAATTCAATGATAATAACAACAATAATTAACCATGGGTGTAATAAAGAACATCTAAGAAGGTTTCAATGGTTATGTGTGTTCTTATGTTTATAATGACGACCATGATACATTGACCCTAAAAGGAAACTAGAACGTTCTTCATACAACATACTTCACTATATAAAAAGAAAAGTAGAACATTCTTTAGCGGGGAAAAGAGCCAAAAAAGTCCTAAACCTTTTTTTGGTGTCAATTCAGTCCTAAACCTTTTGCATTAGTGCCAATTTAGTCCTAAACCTTTTTTTGGTGTCAATTAAGTCCTAAACCTTTTAAATTGGTGTCAATTCAGTCCTAAACCTTTTGTTTTTGTGCCAATTTAGTCCTTCCGGTCAATTTTGATCGGAATTTGCCGACGTGGACACCTGCCGGCCGGCGGCCGGTCACCGGCGCTGACGTGGACAACTTTAATAATATTTTAATATTTTTTTGAATTTTTATTTTTTTTCCTTTTTTTCTTTTTTTTTCCACTTTTTCTTTTTTTGGTCTCTCTCCCTCCTCGGTGACCGGCCAGAGGCCGGCGAGGGCGGCCTCGCCGCGGCCTCCGGCCAGGTCGCTAGGCGAGGCTCGAGCCCTCGCCGGAGGCCGCGGCGAGGGTGAGCCTCGCCATGGTCGGGCGAGGCTCGACCTCGCCGGATCCGGCGAGGTCGAGCCTCGCCCGGCGACCTCGTCGGAGGCCGCGGCAAGGTCGAGCCTCGCCATGGTCGGGTGAGGCCCGACCTCGCCGGATCCGGCGAGGTCGGGCCTTGCCCAGCGACCTCGCCGGAGGCCGCGGCGAGGGCGAGCCTCGCTCGACCAAGGCGAGGCTCGACCTCGCCAGATCCGGAGAGGTCGTTGGGCGAGGCCCGACCTCGCCAGATCCGGCGAGGTCCCGCGGCCTCCGGCGAGGGCTCGAGCCTCGCCTTGGTCGGGCGAGGCTCGACCTCGCCAGATCCGGCGAGGTCGAGCCTCGCCCAGCGACCTTGCCAGAGGCCGCCCTCGCCAGTGGCTGGCGAGGTCGAGCTCGCCGACCTCTGGCCTCTGGCCAGTCGCCGGATCGGCGACCGGCCAAAGGAAGGAGGGAGAGAGACAAAAAAAAAAACAAGTGGAAAAAAAAAAGAAAAAAAAGAAAAATTCAAAAAAATATTAAAATATTATTAAAGTTGTCCACGTCGGCGCCGGTGACCGGCCGCCGGCCGGCAGGCGTCCACGTCGGCAAATTCCGGTCAAAATTGGCTGGAATGACTAAATTGACACAAAAACAAAAGGTTTAGGACTGAATTGGCATCAATGCAAAAGGTTTAGGACTAAATTGGCACCAATGCAAAAGGTTCATGACTTTTTTGGCACTTTTCCCTTCTTCAGCTTATCCAGAGGATGGGGGAACCTAAACTAAGTTGCCAAATCTTAGAACTCTCGTCGCTCTTAAGAGCTGATGTTATCAGTCGCGGGACGATTTGGCTTCCTCATTTTTCTGCATATACAGCACACGATTTTTTTTAAATAGACTCCCAATTAAGAGCGACCCTTTTGTTTTTTTTACCTTTTCCATGCAGAACGAACGAGATTGCAGAGATTTACTGGCCATTACTCGAGGAAACTGTGATAACTTGCCTCAACCTCACCACGCGGCAACTCCAAAACCCTCTACTCATGAGAGTTTCCATTAAAGTACCTCTTTTTCAAGGGGAAAAAAACTAGAAAACTCCTAAGCTTATTGCATTGGTACCAATTCAGCCATAAACCTTTCAATGGACTCATTTAGCCATAAACTTTTTTCACATTGGTACAAATTGAGTCAATCGGGCCAATTTAGGTTGGAAATTACTGACGTGGACGCCCGGTTGTCCTACGTGGCATGGCCGATGACGACCGACGCTGATATTGACAGTTTTTTTTTACAATTTTTTGATTAGTTTTTATTAAATTTTCCCCCTTTTTTCTTTGTTTTTTTTTCTTTCCTTTCTCTGTTCTTTCCTCTCTCTTTTTTTTCCTTTGGCCCGTGGCCAGTGACCGGCCACAGCTTTTTAGGTACTTTTCCCCCTTTTGAGGTGATAAATGAACATTAGGACGGAGTAAAGCAAGTTACAACGCAACAGCGGGTGGAAGTTCAAAGCGACGAAGCAAAGCAAAAGTTAATATGGCTTTAGCGGGTAAAAGGGCGTGGCTGGTCGGAGATCGTTCGGTCCGTCCAGTTTCAGACCTCCTTTTACCTTAATTCCGCATCCCATTCCGCGCCCCGTCGAAAGTAGCAATCACTCCCATTCACGCCTCCACATTATTACTGCGAGACACATGTCTCTTTGGTGGTGCTGGTGCTGTCTGATGGTGCTCTTCGAAAGCGAGCTTTTAGCGGGGAGACTTCGGCCGTGCATGGTTGCGGTAATGCCCGTCACATGAATCGCCATGATCACACTGCATTTTTGTCAGGATCCTTTCCCTATCGCTGGTTTGATTGGGGATGCTTTGTTTCTTGTTTTGGGGTCCATGACAAAGACTCGTTCCATCCCATGAGAAGGCAATGGTGGGGAGTATCTTTCGGGCTTTCGCTCCTTGAAATTTCCCATGGGAATTCGAAGAGAGATGATGATTTGCACGACTCTCTTCGAGACATGATTTTTGCATCATGTTGAAACCCTACATGAATTTTCATTCGAAATTGGGTTGATGGTCAACGGATTCGGTGTTATTGATCTCCGATGTCATTTACATGGACTCCACATTGCTATTTACGCCCAATAATTTATGTTTGACTTATAGCTTTGCGCTCTCTCGGACCGTTCACCTAAAAATGGCTGTCCATCCAATTAACAATACAACCACAAAGTATGCTGAGTGGTCAGACGATCGCGTAAAATAATTCCATGGCGTGCATGCGTCAGATTCTCTTGCCTAGTATTTATGATACAAAAATATATTCATAGATTTATGACGGACACTGATCCGATCAACCGCTCTTTAAAACCCATGATCGAGCTCAAATGATAAAAAGTAGCGGTGAAGAAAATAGATGATGCTGAGGAAATGAATCAAAATGGTATTCGAGTTCTACTTTTTTTTTTCGAAGGCTGTATTGCCCTCGTTACAACTATGGATAGGCAATTCATGCCATGATATGACCAAGATCTCTAAAACTAGCCGAGATTGCACCTCCACTATGATCCCGCTATAAACCCGTTAGAGTTAGTTCGTTCTTTTCTTCTTCTTTTTTCTAACGTAGGACTCACTTCCCATTGTTACCCGCCTCATTAACCGCACTAAACAAGTCGAACCTACGCTTTATACCTCGAAACCGGCTCAGTTGACTTTCCCTATGAATTTATGTGTCAATATTTCTATATATCGAAAGGTTTCGAGTTAATTAAAGTCAAAATAGTTAGAGCCACGCATATTTCCATAGGACCGACTCCGAATACATCCCAATCGACCTCCCGCATAAGAGCTTTGCTCAAAAGCGATAAAGTACAAATGAAGCACGAGGTTTACAGCCTTTAGAAGAAGTTTATTCAATACCTATGACAAGAAGACATCACACTTTCTTATTTCATACCATACACCTTGCAAAACAAAGAGAAAAAGGGCAAAATAATTTTCACATTCCACCAAAACCGTTAATAATCATGTGCATTATCGATTGCGAGAAAAAGGGAAAGAGAGAAAAAAAAAGCCCTAAAAAATATTGAATCAGTGCATGTCAAGTGGGCAAAAAAAGATAGGAATAATGACATAAATAGTCATCGAGCTTTGACTTAATATGCATGTGGTTCATGAACTTTAGCATAATGTGCAATGTGGTCCATGAACTTTTAGTTTGTTCAATATAGTTCCCAGACTTTTTGTATACGTTCAAGTAAGTCCTTATACAATATGAAAATGTTCGATGCCATCCTTCCATTAATTCACGTTCAGAGATAATATCAAATATTTTCATATAATGCAGAGACTAGATTGAACAAGTATCAAAAGCTCAGGAACTACATTTAATAAATTAAAAATTTAAATGTACTTATTGAACAAATTAAAAGTTGATGGATCATTTACGTCATTTTTCAAAAAAGATAAAAAGGAGTCGATCGAATGCAAGAAATAAAACGTTGCCGAGAATAGCGAGTGGCCATCAACCGTCCAACGGTAACGCCCGCCAACGAATAAAACTAACCGACAACGTTGTTATCGGTTGTCAGACCCGGTTTCTCAGGACCCGAAAAGCCTTTCCCCCAACGCCACCGCCCCCCCCCCCCCCCCCACACGTGTCGCCCCCCCACCGATCTCAGCCGTCCGTTCCACGCTCCTATTTACGTCCTCCCTGCCGCCCCCTTACCATAATTTCATCGTCTTCTCTCTCTCTCTCCCTCCCTCTCACAGAACACAACCCCCCCCCTTCCGTTTTCCTCATCATTCTCTCCATTCCATTACCTGTCATTCTTCATCGACCTTCATATCTTTTCTTTTAAACTCTTGCTGTGTTTCGTGCCGGTTCTCGTCTCGGGTTCGCGCGGTTCCGTGCCTGTTATGTGAAGAAGAGAGAGAGAGAGAGAGAGAGAGAGTGGTATGGCGAAAGACGAGAGAGGAGGAGGCACCATGTTCCTGGAGAGCAACACCATTCCTAGGCCCAAGTTCAACATGATGCATTCGGACCCCAACATGTCGTCGATCCCGATCCCGGACGATGACTTCCCGCACCGCCACAGCAGTGTTTCCCCCGCGAGCCCCGCCTTCTACGACCACAGCCGGATGAGCGGGGAGGGGTCCCCGATGATGATGTCCCCCTGGAACCAGTCCTCTCCCTTCAACAAATCCCCGTGGTCCACGGCGTCTACAAACTACGAAGAGAACGTCCCCCAGAACTGCCTCATCGGGTCGCTGGTCCGCGAGGAGGGGCACATTTACTCTCTTGCCGCCTCGGGCGAGCTCCTGTACACCGGGTCTGACAGCAAGAATATCCGCGTATGGAAGAACTTGAAGGAATTCTCCGCATTCAAATCCAGCAGTGGCTTGGTCAAGGCCATCATCGTTGCCAACGGCAAGATCTTCACCGGCCACCAGGACGGCAAGATCCGCGTCTGGAAGATCTCGCCCAGGAACCCAAGCCTCCACAAAAGAGCCGGGACGTTACCAACTCTGAAGGATATTTTCAAGAGCTCCATCAATCCGAGCAATTACATTGAGGGGAGGCGACGCCGGAGCGCACTATGGATAAAGCATTCCGACGCCGTCTCGTGCCTTAGCCTGAACGAGGAGCAGGGCTTGCTTTACTCTGCTTCATGGGACCGAACCATAAAGGTGTGGCGGATCTCGGACTCTAAATGCCTCGAGTCGATCAGCGCCCATGATGATGCAGTCAATGCCGTCGTTGCCAGTGTAGATGACCTGGTCTTCAGCGGATCTGCAGACGGGACCGTGAGGGTGTGGAAGAGGGAGATGGTCGGCAAAACGACCAAGCACACGCTTGCTGAGTCGTTGCTGAAGCAGGAGTGCGCGGTCACGGCGCTGGCCATGAACCGGGCTTGTTCGGTCGTGTACGGTGGGTCCTCTGATGGGCTGGTCAACTCCTGGGAGCGTGGGAAGAAGTTCACGCATGGCGGGGTCCTAAAGGGGCACAAGCTCGCGATCCTCTGCCTCGCATCTGCAGGGAACCTGTTGTTCAGCGGGTCTGCTGACAAGACCATATGTGTGTGGAGGAGGGACGGGACGATCCACACATGCCTCTCGGTGTTGACCGGGCACACCGGGCCTGTCAAGTGCTTGGCCACGGAGGAAGACACGGACTCGGCCACGAAGGGGGAACAGCGGTGGATAGTGTACAGCGGGAGTCTCGACAAGTCGGTCAAGGTGTGGAGCGTGTCTGAGATGGCACCTGATCTTAATCATATGGCCATGATGCAGCAGCAGCAGCAGGTGACTTATGATGCGGACTCGGTACCGTCGGATGGAAGCTTCTCTTCCGCTGGCCGGAACAGCCAAAACCGAAGGTACTGACCCATCGGGGCCGGCCCTCGGATCCTGGAGAATGTCCCGAAAATGAATCGTGACGACATGTGTCGTGCTCTCCCACTGCCCAGAGATTAATTAAATGGAAGTGCCTTAACCTACCTGCTGACATATGGAAATAATTTGTAGTTGGATGTGACGAGTGGGAGTTTCTACGTGCTTGAGAAGGTAGAATTGGTGAGCGTTTGCCTACCACGAGAAAGGGGAGTGTAGAACGGAGAATTTAATCCCCCTTTTTAAGCCTTTGTAAGACTTTTGTGAACCCACAAGAAATGATTATTAACAAATAACTATTGTTGATTTTCCGTTTTCCTTCAGAAAGTTATTATTGCCGCAAGAATTTTGTGGTTTTCATTCAGTAAGGTTAGCCTAGGCAGCAGCAGTGTTGAAGCAACAGTTCCGTCCGAGGTATTCTCCACCATTTTCTCCCCAGCTCTTTGTCCGCGAATTAAATAAAATGCATAATTTCGATCAGAGAAGAAGGGTTAGTCAAGTTTCTATAGACCACCACCCTGAATGCGGAGAAACAAAGACACAGAATCAGAGTCGCTTCAGCCTCTAGAAGATAAGCATACATAAGAGTCGAAATAGAAATGGTAAAAATCTCCTGTGAACTAGTTAACATAAGTGGACAAACCAGAGAGTGACAATATGTGAGATCATCTGTCATCCAGGGCATGATCCACCTCTGAGGGTATTAGAATTCCAGGAATCTGTAAAATACTGCGAACACTAAATGCTACCTTCGAAGGCTAGTTATCGAAGGTAATCATATTGGCAGTTTTCACCATGGATCAAGAACAAATAAAAACATAAAGGACCAAAAGATCTTGGGAAGTAGGCAAATGACAGCGAATCCACCAGGCAGTGAGAAGATGCGGTACAGTTCAGGGAAAGAATCCAATTTTTATACCTTGAAATGATGCTCTACATATTTAGTTTCCGCAAAACTGAAAATCAGGTTGACCCACTATAGAAGTGTAAAGATATGCTACATATACCTAACATCACAAATCTATAAAAAAAAAATCCTATGAACTACAATGCTGTGAAGCTTGTTGAGCATTGAGCAACCATTAAATGGCGATAGAGATGAGGGTTTCCAAACATGCATGCACGTTATGAGTACCCAGGCAGCATACCACCACAGCTAGAACAAGTTCTCTGTTGCTTCTCAAGAGCTAGATAAGCTGACGCACTACTCTCGAATGCATATATGGTTCTCAGTGGGAATGTTTCCGTGAGTGGCTTCTCCTAGTTTCAGTATGCATGCGAGAGCACACTCCATTTAGGTGACCGCTCCTACTACCAGCTGCATTCAGATCCAAGGCTATGGGCATGAGGGACTGTCCTTCTAGTATTCTGACGACCTGCAATGCCATGTAAGATAATGTAGAATTTTATTCAATTCGAAATAGTGGAGAAATAATTACATGGGTGTATGTTGCGAAACAATGCTGCCTCAGATTGTGCTAATGCTGATATGAAGGAGTGATTCAATGCAGCAGTGAAGTTCAAACCTTTGACATTGGAGGTCTTGATTCAGGATCCGGATGCAGACACGATAAAACAGCATGGCTCATTACTTGTAACTGATGGCCGAAATCTTGAGATTGGTTAGAGGCCAAGCATGGATCTATAAATGAAAAACAGTTGGATTTGACTTCTTTCGATTCATGTGCAGCAAAGGGGCCAAACAACTGAGGGAAAAGACTTTCTCCCTCGAATTGCAGTTCGATGATTCTTCGCCCTGTTATCAGCTCTAAAAGTACCACTCCAAATGCATAGACATCAACCTTTTCTGAGATTTTTCCTCCATCAACAAACTCTGGTGCAAGATATCTGAAATTAAAGATATACATTTAACATGATAGAGTATTGTAAATTTCAAATGATCCTTACATATAATAATCTATAGAATTCAAGATTTTTAAGTCATCGGCACAATCAATATTATCAGCAGACCCTACCAGAAGGCAACAATATGATATCAGCCTAAACGTATACATCTGAAGAAAAACCTTTTTGGGGGTAAAAATAAGAGATTGCATACACTGCACATGGTCAAAACAAACGGGATCAGCAAAATATACCCTGAAGTTCCGATGACTAGCTCCTCTGGGCCAATCTCATTTCCAGAGAACCATCTAGCAAGTCCAAAATCAGCAACCTAAATTAAAGAAAAAAAACGAGAACACAAAATTAGTAAAATATGGATTCTGCTACATAAACTTCAAGGTTATTTGTTGCACTATCAGTAAGAAATTTTCACAAACGGAAGTGAAAAGACTTCAACAGAAACTTGAGACATTTCCTTATGGTTTTAAATGCTCATCAGTCATCACACATTCATGATTTCACAAGCAATAGCATTGATTTAAGCAAGCAGGCACAGTATAAATCCCTGGTGCATAAGAAGATGAATTATATTTTCTTAAGGGCACATTTGTCATCCAGGAACATGCTCCATGATAATGTTAAAAGAGGTCTAACTTTGATTGTGAGATATCTGGATCTACGTAGTACCAGAGGTTCAAAATCGTGAGTCAGGAGGATATTCTTAGGTCGCATATCTCTGTGTACGATACAGCCAACTCTACAGTCCTCATGAAGATATCTTAAGCCTCTTGCAGCACCAATAGCAATTTTGAGTCGGGACTCCCAATTTAGAGTGTTGCTATCGCATCCTGGCAATAACACATGGTGTTGGAAATTAAGAACGAAAAGTTATGAGAAATGATTTGTAAGCCATGATGTATAGCACATGATGTAGGATTATACAAGGAAACCTGACTTATGAAATGTAACTCGAACTTAAGCAAAACAGTCAGTAATACAATTAGCACAGGAAGGCATACCATGCAAATGGAAGTCCAGGGATCCATTGCACACATACTCATAGACGAGAGCTCTCTTGCTGCCCTCGGAGCAAAATCCAATCAACAGCACAACATTCCTATGTTGTGCGCAGCTCAACAACCTGACCTCCCTACAAAAGTCAGCATCTCCTTGGGCTCCACCAAACTTCAACTGCTTTACTGCAACCACCTGTCCGTTACTGAGAATCCCCCTGTGGACCAATCCAAAACCTCCTTCTGCCAGAAAATTTGGATCTGAAAATCCATCTGTTGCTTCCTCTAGTTCTGCATATGAGAACCTTCGCGGGGGTTTTCCAAAAGTTGGTGCCTTGTGTTGACATAGCGAGCATAGGGGAGGTGGCACCGAGGAAGTTCTGCCCAAAGAGACTACATCCCTTATGCTTGCATTGACAACTTGATCTGGTTGTTGGGCTTGCCTTTGCCCTATGCTCCCAGTACTCATGTGACCGTGATTATGTCGAATAAACTTGCTAAACCATCTTCTGGACATAATTTTATCGGTTTGGTTAGCTTTGTGATTGTTTCCTATGGGGAGACGCTTTACATCAAGCATATGATTTTGGGAAATCCAATAAAACTTATTACTGTCAACTGATAGAGATGATGTTAAGGTTTTTGAGAGAGTCACAACCTTTTCCCCGTATGATTCAAGTACTGTAAAGGGGTATTTCAACTCACTCTTTATCAAATATGGTGAATAACATCCCTTCCTCTGTCCTTCAAAGAGTGGATTTCTTTCGTATAAGTGAAAAAAAGACCCTGCTGTGTCATAACTTGACGATGAACTTTCTGCGGTAGTTATTGTATGAGGGCTAAACAATTCAGGACTGCTGACTGGAGTAGAATGCTTTATCCTATAGGCATTGAACTCTCCATGATCCACACATGGAGAAGAAGTAGCAGAATAAAAGGGGGTCTGGAGTTCATTTGAACATCCTAAATTTAATCTGAGAACTTTCGCTTGAGAACCCTTCATCACCACAATATTGCAGCGGACTTCCTCCAAGCAATGAGTCAATTCTTGCTTTAAGTCCCTGTTTTGGCAAAAGAGTTTATGACGACTGAATGTCCAACAATGCCTTTTCAGAAATGGAACGAAGAATTAAATTAACGGACTCAGGTTCTAAGTACTGTACACTATAGCCCATCCATGAAGGTGACATGATTAGATCACATCAAGGGAAGTGGAGCGGAAGAATGATTGCAGGCTCCTGATAATTACTTAAGCAGATTTGGCCAAAAAAGAATACCAAAGAAGAAATAAAACAAGAAAACATGATTGGAATACCAAAGAAGAAACAAAACAAGAAAACATGAATGGATTGTCTATTTGCAATGTCCAATTGCTTTTCAATGCATTGCAAATTTGACACGAAAATTCACCATATTGAGAAATTCATTGGCTTCTACCAGTAGAAGGGGCAGCAGCATCTAAATGGTAAGAGAATGGAGCATGTCAATAACTCCACGAACAGTCCAAACAGAAAGAAACTAGAGAATGCCCTGCTTAGAGTAGCAAAGAAAAAAACGACTCATCTATAACCAATTCCCCCTTGGGAGCACTAACGCTATGGAACTACTCTAGAAGAATCTCATCATGAGACCTAAAAAGCTAATTAAGCTCAAATGACAAACTATAAATCTAATTAAGATGCAGGAGGTCACATGTATGCTTCCCAATTCAGACTAGCAGATAGAAGGGTAAAAGTTTAGACATAGGTAAAAGCATACCAAATAAATTCAATTTGTATTGATACAGTCGAAGGAAATAATAATACATTTATATTAAATTACTTGTCCAGTATGACCCAGTTGGCCCCGCATTTGCGTGCTTCATCCGCCACCACACCGCCAGGTTTATCAGAAACCACCTTTATCCTCACTCTAACCTGTAACCAAGCTTTCTTTAGCGTCTCACAATTTTGACCATCAAAACAGACTAGTGGCAGCTAAACTAAGGAAGTGCTGTAACACGAAGCTCTGACTTCATTGGTTGGAAAAGCTAAAAGCAACATCCACCACAACAAAGGACCCAGCCGCCACTTCATTTTCAAACAACTAGGCAAAAGGTTGATTAAAGCAACAAGCTGGAAAAAGGAAGCGTATACCGACCCAGTTTCAATTTCAAACCACTAAGGCCAAAAAGTTCATCAAAGCATCAATCTGGAAAAGAAAGTAAACTCCAATACGGCAAAGCATGCTTTTGCTTTTTAGGCTCGAACATGTTAGGAAAGTTCAAATTTCCGGCAACGAAACATCACCGATACATTAGCTGACCGCAGAGTCCGAAAACAAAGATTCACTGGTACCCAATTTTTGACCAGAAACCGAGGAAACGATAAAAAGGAAGCAGAATCTCCTTCAAGGCCGTAATATGGACGAGTTTGATTGGGCCATACAATCATTTTCATCGACAAATCT